GTATAGAATGGGATTAGTGCTGGGAATAATGTATAGAATGGGATTAGAGCTGGTAATGTATAGAATTGGATTAGAGCTGGGAATAATGTATAGAATGGGATCAGTGCTGGGAATAATGTATAAAATGGGATTAGTGCTGGGAATAATGTATAGAATGGGATTAGTGCTGGGAATAATGTATAGACTGGGATTAGTGCTGGGAATAATGTAAAGAATGGGATTAGTGCTGGGAATAATGTATAGAATGGGATTAGAGCTGGGAATAATGTATAGAATGGGATAAATGCTGGGAATAATGTATAGAATGGGGTTAGAGCTGGGAATAATGTATAGAATGGGATTAGTGCTGGGAATAATGTATAGAATGGGGTTAGAGCTGGGAATAATGTATAGAATGGGATTAGTGCTGGGAATAATGTATAGAATGGGATTAGTGCTGGGAATAATGTATAGAATGGGATTAGAGCTGGGAATAATGTATAGAATGGGATTAGTGCTGGGAATAATGTATAGAATGGGGTTAGAGCTAGGAATAATGTATAGAATGGGATAAGTGCTGGGAATAATGTATAGAATGGGGTTAGAGCAGGGAATAATGTATAGAATGGGATTAGTGCTGGGAATAATGTATAGACTGGGATTAGAGCTGGGAATAATGTATAGAATGGGATTAGTGCTGGGAATAATGTATAGACTGGGATTAGAGCTGGGAATAATGTATAGAATGGGATTAGTGCTGGGAATAATGTATAGAATGGGATTAGTGCTGGGAATAATGTATAGAATGGGATTAGTGTTGGGAATAATGTATAGAATTGGATTAGAGCTGGGAATAATGTATAGAATGGGATCAGTGCTGGGAATAATGTATAAAATGGGATTAGTGCTGGGAATAATGTATAGAATGGGATCAGTGCTGGGAATAATGTATAGAATGGGATTAGTGCTGGGAATAATGTATAGACTGGGATTAGTGCTGGGAATAATGTAAAGAATGGGATTAGTGCTGGGAATAATGTATAGAATGGGATTAGAGCTGGGAATAATGTATAGAATGGGATAAGTGCTGGGAATAATGTATAGAATGGGGTTAGAGCAGGGAATAATGTATAGAATGGGATTAGTGCTGGGAATAATGTATAGAATGGGGTTAGAGCTGGAAATAATGTATAGAATGGGATTAGTGCTGGGAATAATGTATAGAATTGGAATAGAGCTGGGAATAATGTATAGAATGGGATTAGAGCTAGGAATAATGTATAGAATGGGATAAGTGCTGGGAATAATGTATAGAATGGGGTTAGAGCAGGGAATAATGTATAGAATGGGATAAGTGCTGGGAATAATGTATAGAATGGGGTTAGAGCTGGGAATAATGTATTAAATGGGACTAGTGCTAGGAATAATGTATAGAATGGGATTAGTGCTGGGAATAATGTATAGAATGGGATTAGAGCTGGGAATAATGTAAAGAATGGGATTAGTGATGGGAATAATGTATAGAATGAGATTAGAGCTGGGAATAATGTATAAAATGGGATTAGTGCTGCCAAGTCTTTTTGTAGGAAGAACGGTGAGTTATTGGATCAATCAATACAATTAAAATAAATAAATAAATAAAATAAACCAGGGACCTATCTACTAAGCAACTAAACCAGCCGCCCAACAAACAGATCCCCAATCCGGTACCCCATATGGGATCGTCATAATTAAGGGCACCGAGCTACGTAGACTGTTCTGTACTCCTTATCCTGTGTAACAGAAGATTTGTAGAATCTATAAATGTTTTATATGAGAAGATTTAAAGGTGAAGTAGTTTTCCTTTTACCTTATACCGTTTACCACTATATTTAGTGGATGTTCATAACACGTGCGCATAACATGTGCGCACCTTATAGGTTGGTTTATTTGTTTGTTTTTTAGGGATGTGAGACACTTGTTATTTAAAGCAACACGTTCACTTTACATGTTCTGCTAATCATTTATTGAAACGCCTTTTAATATGATGAGGAAATATATTTATATGATATGATATAAGATGATCCCTTCTGCTTTGGCCTCCTGTACCACCTTATTTTACTGGACCCTGACAGGTCACCTTCTACAGTGAGCTGAAAATCCAATAAAAAAAATACAAAATTAAAATTTCAAAGAAGTTGTAAATTTGGGCCCAATATATGCTTTTTTGAAACAAGTTCATATTTAACATTTAAACTTATTTAATATTGTAAAAAATATTTAAATTTTGTAATATTTTAATATATCAGAAAATATCAAAATATGCTCAAATTAAAATATTTTATATAATATTTAATCATTTTAAAGTTCGCCCAAAAATATGAAATCATTGAAAATCTTATTCAACAATATTAAATTGAGGCCTTAACTTGCTACGAAGAGAGCAATGATCTTAACAAATATAGTTATTTGTGAATATTATGCCTAGCAAACCACTGTAAATAATCTATATTTAGGATTCCATGTCCATGAATAGGTCAATCTGCCAATAGGCTTAATTTTTATATTTTCGGATAAGATTTGCAAATGATTTTATAGAAAGCAGACACAAAACATCAAGACATACTGCACAGTTTTAAGTGTTAGCAGTAGTAGGCTGGCTACATAAAAGTAATAAAAGGGTGGTACAGCTAGAGGTGAAACATCTGAAGATTAGACATTCGACACTGAAAAATAAAAAACTATTTGTGGGTTTAGGACAATTGCTCTTATGTGAATCTATCGGCCTAATCGTCCATGCTTCAGCCAATGCCACAGCTAAGCCAAATGGTGCTGCCCCCATCTGCCGGCCCCCCAGGCCACGTGGTCGAAGTGGTGGAACAGTAAATCCTCCGCTCTCCAAAGCCAAGAAAATGCCTGGAAACCACTCAATTGCAGATGTTGCAAGCGCTGGCAGATCAACCGTTTCTCCCTTCCACAGATCACTCCAGGTGTATAGGCTATGAAGTGGGGCTTTAAACGTGCTCCAGAATGCTCCCCAACGGACAGGAACAGTTGCGTATTCATTACTTCTGAGGTTAAAATCCCACCAAAAAATCAAGGTTTTTATGTGTTATTTAACGAACACACAACACATGTCGGTAAACTATGATGGCCAGACCCCACGCCAATAAGACTTTTTTTTTTATATTTTAATATTTTGAAAAAAATTTAAATCAAAGTTTAGCCACAAATATTAAATTGAGGTCTTAGATCAGCCTTCACCCTCTGAATCTGCAGCTTATCAGTAATAATTTAGTTGAACCTTTTTGAAGTACAGCATGTTCGATGAAGTGTCTTTCATTTATGGTGTTTTGCAGGTTATGTTAATGTATTTGGCACTTTTAACAGACCAGTCATATCTGTTTTTTACCATTTGGTACAATTTTTGAGACAAGTGTAATATAATTTGTATCAAGTCGCTATATATTTGCGTTCCTACTTTGAAAGCATGACTGATGTCATTGAACTTTGCAATATGTCCTCGGTGGTCCGCCATACCCCATTGGGCCAATTCTGTGGGTAGATGTCCTTCAGTGTGGAACACACATCACAGCTAAATGATCAGCAATTAGGAAAAGCCCTTGAATTGAAACATTACTTCCACACAAGGATGCCTTACTCCCATGAACAAGGCCAGTGACTGGATGAAATACGCTGGGCCTGCAGCTGTTTATATTTTATATGTAAATTTATTTGTTTTTATTTTTATTGTTCCTTATTTATCTTGCCAAGTACATCTGGGCCAGTGTGTGGGGAAGGAATAGGAAAATGAAAAGGAAAGGGGGCATTATCCCAAGATTAACCCACAGAGCTGACAGGTGGACGTTTCTCTGTAATCAGTTCTGCCATTAGGGGAAGATACGCTAGAAGGGATGTAACCCTCAAA